TTTTTACTTGAAGAGTTATTTCAAAGCTAAATTCAGATAGTATAGTAACACTCCAGTGATATTTCTTATTATTGCTTCTCTTAATTTATTCATAGGAGGCAAATATTTTCTTCTGTTATTTAACTTCTTGTGGGAAGTTAAATATCTACAGAATATATTAAAGAGGCTGTAAATACAGTTTGACTGAGTTGAATGATTTCTCTTAGGTCCCTTGCCATTATCTATTTCTCTTCAAGTCTGATAATCTCCCACTTGTTTTAAGATAAGTATTTTAGCATTTCATTGCAGAATAGAAAATATAGGCACAACTGTCTTTTTTTGTTGTTTTCATAAGACATAGGTAATAACTTAGACTAAACCTCTTTTAATAGAAAATCTTTGTAGTATGACCCTATTGGAAGGTGAAATAAAGCAGACTAAAAAGAGAATATTTTCTTGCTAGAAAACTTGTAGGGACTAAATGCAACAGCAGAATTGTGTTTTGAACCATAAGCAAAATTACCATATTGAAAAATCTATCTCCGCAAGTCTGGGAAATACTAGTGAGCATTACTCACTCCGTAGTGAAGATTAAAAGTAACATGCCACTATGCATCAAATATATTAAAAGCAAGAAATCAAAAGCTGTGAAATGCACAGGCTTTATCTTGACTATTTGTACAAGGTACTGGAAGAAAAAAAAGAAAGGTTGAAAAAAGCCTTGGGAAAAAAAGTGGAAAGGAAGTTTAAAACTGAGACTGCTATAAAATGTTTCTGTTTTTCTCTTTTCATTAGCCTACAAAACAGAGATGAAAGTAAATCTTAAGAGGAACTATTATGTTACCAAAGAATCCTTACAAAATCTTTACAAGCCTTACAAAAACTCCTGTTTTTCCTTATCAACCTAACAATTCTGGAGTTTCTTTACTTAATTTTAATGCTTTAGACAAAGACATTAAATGAGTACATACACAATTAGATAAAATGTTTCTGGGAGATCAAATCCAGTTTTTGGATAATCAGATCAAAGGCACGGTATTATGTAATCAGTTGTGTGAAATGAGATGGAAAATTGAATTATGTGGCTTAAACAGTACTTTCTAAAACTCGGGTTTGTCTTATAGTTTACTAGATTATTTTAAATAAAATTGTTTAAAGAAGACCAGTGATACCATTATTGTCAAAATTCTTCTATACCTTAAGTTCTGTCAAATAGTTTGTTTTCTTTCATCTCTCAGGCAGATTAGCCACAATTCTTATTTTTCTATTGTCAATCTAGGATCTTTATCTGATTTTTCTTTGTCTCAGCAGACTTGCCAGTCTCTATGGGTTGCTTCATAGGAACAGATTCTCTCCTGGACAAATTGACTGTGATACTGTGATTACTTTCATCCCATCTTGTACATTGGTTTTTTGTAATGATAAAGCAACACTAATTAACTGTGTATTGTTTTTCACCTAGGGAACTTTTAAAACATTTAAGGAGCCTGGAAGTTTCATGAAACAGAAGATTTTACTCATTCTATGGTTGCTTTTGTTATTTAGTCATATATTATGTATTAATTTTTATAAGGGCCTATTCACTGAAAATTCAGAGGCTATGTCTGCAAAATTTACAAACCACTAATACAGAAGTTCATAATAATTATTGTGAAATTTTTCTTCTTAAAATTCATAGCTACAGCATTATTGTCAGATGTGGACAAGTTTTGCCAAGAATTTGAGCATTAATCAGCATTTTTTGTAAGTGGATATAAAAAACAAAAGGATTTTGTAGGCGTAAACAGAAAAATCACATTTTTCTCTGAATAGCTGTATAATAGCCACTTTTAAAAGCTAAATAATAAACACAGAACGAAAGGGTTTCACCCCATAGAATGTAAGACAAAATATTTCTGGCTTCCATATTGTGGGAGTTATTATAGAGCAAAAAAAACCTAAGTAAAAATTGTGTGCTTGGACAGCTGACACTTCAATAAATAAGTTAGAAATCAAAATTGTTTTCAGAGCCATGCTAGTTGCTAAGCACTTAGAGATTTGGAACTAATTGAGGACTACACACAAATACTTCATAATCTGCAGCTTGTCATATGTCTATTTTGTAAAAGATTTCTCTGAATAAATATTTTGAGCTGTGTGTAAAAATCAAGAGTTGTTTTTAAATCCTGAAATCATATTTACCTTAAAGTTGATATATTGTTCCTCTGTATATGTAATGTGCAACCGTAATACAGAGTTGATAGATAAGGATAATGTCTTTTATTGACCAGTTATTATTGCTGAAAAACATTGACAAGCTTCTGAATACAGAAGCTTTCTTCATATCTGAATCAGAGAAACCCCATTTCGAGCACAAAAAAAACCCTGGAAAAAATTGCATAGAGTATCAGAAATACCAAATCTTTGAGAAGAAATATTACTGGCAGTTACAGTTAGGGGAGGTATTAATGAAGAGCGGGAGAAAAGAAATGAGACATAGGTGTGTTTGGAGCAAAATATATGTAAATTCTGATTCAGTAACCTAGTGTGGATGTGCATCAAGGGTATTTTTCGCTATGGAAATCCTTTGTAATTTTGAAAGAGTTGTCAAATACCCATATAAGGAATACATTCTAACTCCATCTCATTAAGATAGCGTGGTAAGGTGTTTTGCCTAGTGAGACACCTCCCATTATGAATTTAAAAAAAAAAAGACATATTACTAATTGTATCTCTCCCTTTAACATCTGAAGCTTTTGCCAGACAATTCTTTTTTTGCCAGACAAATACTTCTTTTCTTGCTAAAAAGAAATATTAAAGGAAGTTTCATTGTCCTATTGTCAGAAAACATGAAAAAATTGCTTCTTCTTGGTCCTGCTTTTTTGTCAATGATTTTTTGACCTCCTGGTCCCTTATTACCTGATAGAACTTTCTAGTGACTTTTGGAGCAGACTTATTTTATCATCTAATGAGTATTGCTAATGGCATGCTGAATGTCCTCAAGAAATACTAACCCCATCAATTTAGGATTTTAAATGTCTTTTAATTCTTGTTATCTTATTTATTAATAATCATAGTATTTAATTTATTCTTCCTACTTAATTATTTTGTTATATTCGAAATTTCTCACAAATTGACCCTGGTATATTCATAGAACTATATAATCATAGAATCATTAAGGTTAGAAAAGACCATAAAGCCCAAATGTCAACCCAGCACCACCACCATGTTCACCACTAAACCATGTCCTCAAGTGCCATAGCCACATAGTTTTGAACACTTCCGTGGTTGGCAACTCCACCACTTCCTTGGAAAGTCTGTTCCAGTGCTTTACAACCCTTTCTGTGAAGAAATTTTTCCTAATATCTAATCTAAACCTTCCCTGGAGCAAGTTGAGGCCATTACCCTGGGTTCATACTGACTATAAAAGCACCTCATAAAGGCCTATGATTTTTTCTTGTGAAGTAAAAAGCCAATGAAAAAAAAATACAGAGAAGCAAGCAATATATGATGTTGAGGAATCAGGAAATGTTAGCTCCCTTTGTTCCTTCTCCTGCATGATCCACTATTGGGACTTGATTTCATTCACATGGTGAATAGGTATTATGCAATTGCCCTTTTAATCTCCTGTAAGAGATTAACAACCAGTGCATGCAAGGCTAGCTATGTTAGTATGTCATTGGCACAATGTCTGCCAATTCTGAGATGCTTACAGCAAATGCATATTACTTTTTTTCAAGTATCGGTTCCAGTTAATTTTGATTTACCTGGATTGATTTGTTTCAGCCTGAAAGATTGAAGTCAGTAGCTAAGGTGTTCAAAGCCAGGATTCAGATTGACTCAGAGTCCAGCAAGGAGAAAATGAACTATGGCCTCAAACAGAGAATGTCGACATGCTGCCTCCTGACTGTAGGATTTACCCAAGAGTTGTAAAGTTCAGTTCTGGGCTGCTTTAGTTCAGACTTCCACAGTTCAAGTGAGACTGTGATTTCTGTTCTGAAATCAATGGGTGGGGTTTGTTGGTTTGGTTTTTTCTGTTTAACCTGAAAAATTCTATTTAGGATATTTGGAGCTTCAGTTTGGCCTATGTGACAAAGCTTGTTGAGTGTGAAGAGTCTTACCAGAATACTACCAAATCTCGCTGGAAAAGTCGGGTAGCAGCTAAGCAGTCTTTTAAAGATGGAAGTGCATTCTTAAAGAGATGGATTAGTCTCCAAGTGATTTGGAGAATCATATTCTTTTCAGAGAAAATGCATTGCTGTTGAGTCACTTCTCAGCTGTATTCAAAGCTTTGACAGGCCATAAACAAACTTCTGATTCTCCCTGGCTAACTTGAGTGTCTGTGGTAGATTCCTAATGGGGAAAAGAAGGAAAAGGGAAGAAAACTAGAGTGCAAAATCCCTCCACAGTTTGTTAAGGTTATTTGGTATTTTAGGATTGGAAAGAAATTCCTATTAAAAATAGGTACATAATTTCTCTACCTTTTCTTCTACCTTTTCTTTCAGTAGAGAACCATGGAATTTTTTCAGAATTCTGCTCTTGAAATGAATAGGAAATAAATTATGTCAATATTCAACAAATTAGGGAATTATGTACAAATGATGATACTGATGTATTGTGCAGTTCTGTATATTTGTTGCTTACAGGATTCTTTCTTTTCTTTGTGGAATGTCCAAAGGAAGATGTAATATCTAATTTTTTGAAAGAGGCAGAGATTTGTTCTTAAAATTACTGGTTTGATTCCTATTGGTAACTTACAAAGTGTGTAAGCAAGATGATAAGAATCTGGTACTGACTTATTAAAAAGTGAAAATATATGGGAGTATATTAATATTTATTCTCTTCTTTAGAACTAATATTTCTGTGTTTTAATATCTTGTCATAAACCATATTTGGGATTCAATATATTCTTCAATGATAAAAAGTGAATTTTTATTTACTAAATATGTCTGTGTAGGTGGTATGTATTATCTGTTGGCCTGCTCACATTGTATTAGTACTGAAAAATGGCATTTATCTGTTTATTTATTTTGTATTTTCAGGTAGAGATTGAAAATCTGGACTATCATTACTTTCTTCCTTTGTTCTTTGATGGGCTTTGTGAAACAGAATTTCCATATGAGTTTTTTGCTCGTCAAGGATGCCATGATATGCTGGAACATGGTGGAAACAAGATTCTTCCTGTTGTTCCTCAGCTCATTATCCCAATAAAAAGTAAGTGAACACGTGGAGAAAAATCCATAAATTCTATTTATATTACGTAAATTTTTGAAAATGTGCTAATTAAGCTGTAAGACATGACAGCCTGAACATCACATGAAGATTATTGCAAGTGTGAGTAAATTTTAAGATATAAGGCCGGGAAGCTTATCCCTTCAATAATCTGATATGTGCAATATTTCAGAAGAATAGACTCTCTCTGGTTAGTGTTTTTCTTATTACAGGGTGGCCCTTGGTCTTTGGAAATGTGAAGTGACATTTTCTTAGCTGATTTTCTGTATTTACTATGTAAATCCTCTACTGTATAGACCAGTTCATCTAAAATGACAGGAGACATCAAGAGATGTCATTTTAACAATATTACTTTTGAAGGGCTTATATAGTCAAACATAGTTTTTATGTAGAAAAATTTTGTAAAAAGCAATAAATTATTTTAACACAAATGTATTACCACTAAACTTCAAGTGCACTACAACTAAAATTTATCTTCTTGAACCACCTAGTCCTTCAGATATATTATTTTGCCGTTTCCTATTTGTTTAGGTCAGTACCTTGAAGAGATATTATTGTGAACCATCGTCCTTCTCTAGTTAGTTATGGTGATTCTTAAATCTGCACGCTACACCAATATGAATAGATGCTAGTGTTTGTTGAACTTGGCTTCTCTTTTATCATTAATCATAAATGGTATTATTGCTATCCTTTATCCTGTCCATGAGACAGTTCAGCTTTAAATACAATTTTGTAAAAAGGGAAGTAAATGTAGTTGGGAACCTGATAATACTGAAATAATAGTGTTGGAAGTGCCAGAATTGTGTTTTTTTCATTTAATTTTTTCTCAATTTAAGAAGATTGATTATAGATGTCACTATATCTATCTTACTGTAGTTTAGAAAATGTCAGAAGGAATATATAATATTCAGAATGTTTACTCTGTGAGACTTGAGAAAGGTTATGAAAATAATATTACCATTTTTTGCTCTAAAAGGGAATCACGTAAAGAGGGGAATGATATAATTTCTTTAGAACTGCATTTTCAACCTCACCCAAATTATATACAGTAGTATCTTTTTTTTTTTTTAAAGCTAAAATAATTTCTTCAGAAAAGACTGCAAGTTTATGACAACACCTCCTCAGCTGGGATTTTGTAGTCTTTCTGAGACCAGAATCTAGCTTAGATTTAATTACCTAGAAGCTACCTTTGCTTACCTAGCAAAGAGATTGCTAGGTAAGGGAATTTGTAGGGGTTTGATATGTAGTCTTAAGTCATAATTTATGGTGCTAGAACACATTCAAGAATCTGCTAGATAAATTTAGTTATTATTTCTGCTTAATTTTATTCTAAAGTGCTTTATTTAAAAAAAAATGCTTCTCTATCAGCTTTAATATGTGAAGGGTCTAAGTGTTATCAATGATAAAGGCTTCTTCCTAATTAAAGCCGTATTAATAGTAAAAGAAGATACCACCATCTCCAGGAGTCTGAAAATGTGTACTTTTAAGGGTTTTTAAATTTGCTATGACTGTGTAATACAGCAGTGTAGTAATAGCTATACATTTCTGTGACTCAGCAGCATCCACAATAAACTCAGCTATGTTTTACACAGATTACTGTCTCTCAAGTGTCCCACTGGGTGAGTTATTTCTGATTAACCAGTCGTCTTCTAGACCACTCTACCATATTTCTACTGTGAAAGAGTGAATCAATTGATTGTTAGGCAAGGTAATATATATGATCAAGGGGGAAAGGCTAAAAGAAAGGCAGAAAAACAACTCTACAGGTAGAATGCTTTTAAAAGCAGTTTTCTCTTCTCCATGGTCATCAAAGGAAGATATTATTAAAGACCTAAGTGTTCTCTAAAAACATTTTAAATTAAATATTAGAATTCTGTGTTATATTTTAAAGATATAAGAAATCATATAATTAAGAACATAATTAAGAAATTTTTCTTCCAGCCATCCTTGTTTAAATTTTACACATTTAAACACTATATCACTAAAATGAAAATAATATTATTTAATCCATCTGTGGGTTATTGTAAGCCCAAATGCTTTCATTTTTTTCTGGTTAAACAGGCAGTGACTAAAAAAAGACAGACAATTGAAATACTAGGCTTGGATTCTCTTCTAAAATAACTGAAATATGATTAAAATAATAAAGAAGCATGATCTTTAGTTGAAAAATAATTCTTGTCACACTGGAAGGAACATTTTACTGGAAATTCAAAGGAAGAAAAAATCCCTCAGGTTGGAGGCATTAATTTCTCAGAGAGAAAAATGTTCAAAATATACTTTGATTTCTCAAAATATAAATTCAGAGTATATTGCATCTTGCACTGGAAAAACATTATAAAATAGTTTATAAATATAGTCATTGCATGACATAAAACTCAGAAGAAACAAATTACCTGTATATGTCAAACTTGTAAGGAATCCAACTAAAAATAAATAAAACACAAAATTAGAAAATGGGATTACTTAAGATGTAGGGCTTTTTGCTCCCTTTCACAGAAGATATAGGCAAACCCATTGGCTGAGTTATTTCAACTTCAGCAAAGATATATAAATTGAAATATATGGCAAATAGCAAGGTACTTTGTAGCAGTATCATGGAAATTCTGATGCTGAATACACAGCCAGATATCTTCCTTGCCAGGAAGAGCCATATTGCTATTTTCATATTACAGACAGGTAAAAAAGCAGAAGGAGGCTAATTGTGCCCCACATCACAGATTGCATTGGTGACAGAGAGCTGAACAGAACCCAGGCATAGCACCCTGGAGTAGCAAGAAAAGATGTCTGTAGGTTACATTAGAGTTCCCTTATTTTTAGGAAACAGAGGATTCTGTCTAGCCTGCTATGTTTTTCTCTGTGGTCATTATAGGAATGCAAAATTCCATTTGATGCTCATTTTTGGGGAACATTATTACTTTTAATATAACATTTCCCATAATGAATGGATCAGAAAAGCCATAAGTCCTTTTGCTTGCTTTCATTAGGCTTCTGCAGCTCTCAGATTCCTGACTTCAGGCTTCCCTGATGTTCTCTGCATGAGACACACATGTAGACATAAACACTGAGGGAGCCAGAAGTTTCTACACCTTTGTCTATTATTTCTATGAGTACCATCAGGGACATGCAGCACAGTGTGTGGAAGCACCTCCTCTCCTTTCAGAGGCAGCAAGCATGCTACCATTCACATTTGTTTTGCTGACAATGTAGTTGTAGGAGTTTTCAACCCCTGCACGCATCAAGTCACCAATTGTTCCAGCTCCCACATTCTGACTTTTGTTAATGCAATTGTTTGTGGAGCAACTTGGTGATACTCTCATCTAGATGTGGTAAAAAAAACCAAAAAAAAAAAAAAAACAAAAAAACCAAAAAAACCCACCAACAACAAAATAAAAACCAGCCAAAGAACCCAACTCTAAAATAAATCTAAGATATTTTTAGAGTGGCATTACTTTTAAAGTCAGGTCATTTCAATGGTCTAGGTTATAAATGCACTGCCACAAATGAAGGAACAGTACACCATAGCACAGATATTGGAGTGAATAGGTAGAAATGATCAATAGGAAGATCTTCATATAGCTTTGTTCATGAAGATAATAATATGAAATTAAACACTTAAGTGTTGGATCACCCATTTGGCAGAATCTTTTCTGTTCTGTGCTGTGAATCCTAAAACAGATATGCAGACAATCTGAATTTAGGCCTAAAAGCCAGAAAAGCTCACATCTTTGCACTTGCAACTTAGAAGAAAATACTGTTTCTACAGAGTTCCAGTCAGCAGACCAATTCTGGTTGAGTCCGAAAAGAATAATCTCCATCCTAAGGGATACTGAAGTTTTCCTTTTTAGGGCTTTTACCATGCTGTTAAACATAACTTCTGTGGTACAATAAATCAAGGATACCATAAACTTTGTTTAAAATGTTTCATTAAGGAAACATATATTTTTATGAGTCAGATATAGAGAAATGAATAGAGCATTCCTTCCTCAGTATCAGGTACAGAGTCCTTTTTCATGTTTTATAAATTTCCAAATTAAACTGATTTCTGTTTTCTTATTGTTCACATTTTGTTTGCACCTAAGTTCTGTTTTCTTATTGTTCATTCTATTTGCATGTAAAATGTTGTCTTGGACTACAGTGTAGTTAATGCCCATTTAATGTCAAATCAGTGTCACTTTTGCATTTAGATATGTAAAGTTGAATGTGTTGCTAGCAGTTGTTTTAAGCACAGTTATATTTCTCACGTATCTTCACCATATTTAGGAGTATTTAATAACTGTTAAATACTGCCTTTCACGAAGTGCTGCAATATTTTTATGGAATAAGTATGATTTTCTGGTCTGTTGTCATTTTCTTTCTGCAAATCATGTAAGTTGATTTCTATCACCTACAGAAAGTAAGCTAAAACTTATGTAATTGTAATTTTCCTCCTGGATGACTGTTGCTCTTGAGAACCAATTCTGGTTATTAAGATCACAGATTGAAAGATAAAAGTAAACAAGAATGCTTTTATAGATTTAAAATGCTTTTAAAGAAAGCAAAGGTCTCATGGTTGTTTTTTTTTAATTGTCCTGGTATTCAAATAGTAAAACATTTCCCCTGGAGGTTTCATCAACCAGTAGAACTAGTTGCAGTTAACTTTATGTAAGATTCTTCTGCTCAAAACTGGTCATTTCAGATATTTTCAAATGGTGTAGGAAGTAGATCCTTTATAACTCCTCTTTACTCTTTTCTGTGAGGAGAAACTGTTTCTTATTTAATAAAGATAAATCTCATTCATGTTTGGAAAGTGAAATCTGCAATTAACATCTCTGACTTTTAAAGCTGCAGTTGGAGCTATTCTTTCCTGAATTTATATATGTATTAATATTTAGCATTTATTAGTAATGAATTTCATCTTCAATTTTATCACCCAGTTGTTTTGTACTGTAAGTCGTTTTACAGTTCTTCAGAGTCAGTCCTTGTCTTTGGCATCTGTAATAACT